TCAATTGCTGGATCAAATTGGACTGTGAAGATTGTTATGATTAACTTATATCAGTGGCTTACCAGTTTCTTTCGCTGTATTGATCTTGCAGGAAGAAGTCAAGAGGCTTCTCTATTATTTACTAGAATGAAGGAGGAGGGGATAGAACCTGGAAAGGTATAAACATATTTAGAATGGATTTAGAAATATGATGTGTTTGAAAAGTTAATGAAAAGGTTTTTCATATTAAGTATTTGATATCATGTTAATTGCCCGGATGTTGGTTTGATTTTTTCTGTCCTAGGTTTTTCAGGTATAATTTAAACAGACCATGTCATTCAAAATTTGCAATTTCTTGTTGACTTACACCTATAGAATTTGTTAACAACACTCACCCATACCAGTCAAACTAGCATATTTTACACGCCGATACTGCCTCGTGCTCAAATTAGCATCTCTTCAGATCCACAAAATGCAAGAGCTTATTGTTAAATTTAAGCTGTTAGCTAGCTTATTAATCTTTTCCCCCCATATAATAAACTAAACAAATGTTTTTTCAAAGGATATTATGGTGAAGTAGATGAAAAGTGTCTTATTTTGTTGACAATGCAGATTAGTTACAATACCATGATTAATGTATATGCCACAGCTGGACTCCACCATGAAGCTGAAAATCTCTTCCGTAGCATGCAAAAGGATGGTCATTCACCTGATTCCCTCACATATGTTGCTCTCATCAAAGCTTACACTGAGACTCATAACTACTCTGCAGCAGAGGATATTATCCGTCAAATGCAAATGAGAGACCTCTCCCCTTCTTGTGCTCATTTCAACCAACTCATCTTCGCCTTTATAAGACAAGGCACCATTCGCGAGGCAGAAAGAATCTACAACCAGGTGAAGCTGAGTGGACTATCTCCTGACTTAACTTGCTGCAGAACTATGATGAGGGGATATCTAGACTATGGGCTTGTGAATGAAGGCATTCTCTTTTTTGAAAGTATTAACGGATTCATAAAACCTGATGGATTTCTCCTAAGTGCTGCCATTCATCTTTACGAGTTTGTGGGCAAGGAAACTGAAGCTGGGAACGTTCTGGATACTATGAATATTGAAGGGCTCTTGTTTCTGAGAAACCTGAGGATAGGTTCCAAATGTAGAACACCTCAAAGTCCATAGAATTTTCCTGTATGGTTGATTTGGGAGCTTAATTTCTTGGAAAGATTGGTTGCAACTTTTTCCAATAAGAAAAAAGGCACCAAGTTATGGCAAGTATTCACTACCTAAGTGAAATCAAGATGCAAGCAAATGCAAAAAAGAGAACTATGGATAATTGTGGGTATCTGCTATCAACATGCATGATAAGTTTTTCCATCATCATGCAGATGCTAAAGGGTTGTATTACATGTCATTCCGGCTGCGTATGAAGATTTAGTATAGATCATGGATGTGAAGTAGCCAGTTTGTACTGTTACTGCCAGAATTCATATGAGCGCATATAGCAATGTCTTCCTCAGTGTCTGCAAGATGGTTCTTAGCTCAACGTTACAAATATGGGAGGAGCTTATCAGTGGATGACATTCTTTGAATGGCAAGGGTCTCAAATCTGATTGCTTCCTTAGGGAAATAGAATTGTTAAGGAAATGAAGATCTGGACAATCTTGGCACTTCTGTATATATTTGTTTTATTCCATGTAACCTCATTTTAAAGAGGATTCTAGCAAACCCGAGAAAAATTTGTACCTGTTGAGGAGTAATTTGTTTGCCAATAAATTTATCAGGCTTCAGATCTCATTATGCCACAGTTTAATGACCATATCGTGCAGGAGGAAATTATCAATTCAAATCTATGCATGTGTAGTATGTAGGGGTGGTAAACCATATCCGTATCCGGGGAAATATTCGTAACCGTATCCGTTAGGATACAGATATGGTTACTCAAATCTATAACCGATAGGATATGGTTATAGATATGATTTTATAGTGAAATATCCGTAACTGAAATATTCGAATACATATTAGTCATACTCTTACGATAGTTTCGATTATTAGATTATGGATTTGTGGCTAATTTTGATGATCAAGATGTCTAATCTTAACTTTTCAATTATAATAAACATATTAACGAACTCTTTTGTATCACATGAACCATGTTTTTCTCAATACTATCTAGTTTTCTCATATCCATTTTGTATCCGCATGCATGTCCGCTTATATATTTGCATGTATATCCGTAACCGTATCCGATTTTAGCAGATATGATTATGAATTTTCCTTACTAAGATATATATGTATCCGTATCTGAGATGGGTAAGCGGATATGGATATGGTAAGCATCATATCCGAGCCGTATCCGGACCGAATGCACCCCAAGTAGTATGTCCTCAAAAGCATATGTACTTGAAGCACAAGAAATATCTTTATTAATCCGTTGCGTTATACCATTGAGTAATGAAGTGAGGCAGAAAGTACGCGCGCTGTACAGTAAGCTGAGCTGTGCAATCCACCAACATGCCTTATTTGTTAATAAATAAGATGAGGTGCGTATGCGTTATTTGATAATAAATACGATGAGGTCCCCTATACTTCAGCTATTAAACTTCTCAGTGTTTGGTATGGTGATTTTTTCCTCAAATATGGTTGCTGAAGTATCCATTGGCACGAGAAGGAATCCTTATACATAAACGGTAGATCTTTTCCAGATCTAGCAAAAGAATTAATTTAAAAAAAAAAAATCCAACATGAACTGTGGGTTGCGACACATAAATTTTATTGCCACGATTTTATATTTCTTTATTGTTCGGGCTCAATTAACATTTTCCCTGTTGTTGCCATGGGAAACCAAAAGATGAACAAAATCCTAATTCCGCTGTTGTTATTGTTTGTTACATAAAATAATGAACAATGCATGCACGTTATCACAAACTATGTATTGTGACAAGTTGGTAACAGCTGTCTATTTTCAGTCTACATATAATGTTCATATATCACCCTTTCTAGTGGAGCAAACTTATACTACATAGATTTTCTGACTTGCAGAGATACATTCCCTCAGAGTTTGGAGCTGATGTAGATCGAGTTCAAATGTTAGAGCCTGGTGTAAAAGTGTTACAGAAATCAAGTCCAAAATTCGACAGGCTATCAGGGAAGCACGGATTCCCTTCACCTTTGTATCGAGCAATTTTTTCCCGACTTATTTTCTTTCAAGGCTCGGCCAAGTTGAAGCAACTGGACTCCCTGAAGATAAGATGCATCATCTTAGGTGACGGCAATTCTAAAGGTTAGTCTTTTAGTAGACGCTGAAATAGGTACTTGCAAGGGTTAATTGCGGGTAGACCTCCCAGTGCTGTCGCCATATTGAACTTACTACCGCTGTGGTTATATTGTTGCAGATAGAACATCTGAGAAGTTTTTTCTGGGGACCCATTTTAGGAGTTTAGATGATCACTCAGGGGGTCTGTCTGCAACAATAAAACTCTTTCAAGGGGTCTATCTACAATTTGCCCTTGTTACAAAAGAAAATGTGTCATCGTGATGGAATTTCAGACCAAACATCATATACTCTGATATGTGTTGATGAAATAACTAAAGTTTCTGTTATGCAAGTTTTGGTACTGTTAAAAACAAAGCACGGGTGTTATAACTTGCTAAAAAGTGTCATGTTTATCGACTTAATTTTCTTTTTGACGCGGTTATATTTGTCGATGAGCGTGACTTCGCAACGTACTGTATCTTAGCCTCTGATGACCCAAGAGCTTTAAACAAAATTTTATATATGAGACCACCTGCCAGCGTCTTATCTTCTAATGAGATTGTGTCACTTTGGGAGAAGAAGCTTGGTAAGACTCTTGGGAGGATCTATATCACTGCAGGGGAGGCCTTGAAAAAGATGGAAGGTGATAGCAGTGTTTTTTTTTTCTTTTCCTTCTTCTCAGAAATCAGTTAACTTCTGAACTATTCTAATTGGATTCCAGAGTGTTGAATTTAAATTAAAGCAAGGAGAAGAAAGAGTTATCTTCAGGAACTCTTTTATTTCTTGTCAGTGAATTTTTGTCAGATATTGCCCCAGGGTGAAATAGTTAGTTTATCTGAGGGTTAAAGAGTCAGGAACTTAACCCAAGGGTCTATCTGCAACAATGAAACTAGAGGAGTAGTAAGTTCAGAAAAAGTGATACTGCAAGGGGTCTATGTGATAACTTTATAGACATGCTTATTGAAATTGCATCTACTTTTTAAGTGAGTGTTTGTAGAAGCAACTTGATGATGTTTTAAAAAGTAGCATCTTCTTTTTTCAGTTTATATACCATATATACATTTTATTTCTTAATAATGAGCACTAAGCACAGTTCTACCAAACACCTAATTAGGTACTTCTTTAGCATTTTTTGATATTTGATTACCAAACGGCTACTTTCAGCAGCTTATATAAGTTGTTTTGTAAGCTGCTTATATAAGTAACTTACTATAAGTTCCAACAATATCAGATAGGCCCTTAGTCTTGCCTTTTTTTTAAACTTTAATATCCTAAATTCTATTTGGACAATTTGATCAACCAAAGTGTAGAAAAGCTCATGTTAATTTTGTTCAAGAATATCGACATGGAAAAGTGAATGAGAAAAATCTTCGTTATCAATTTTTTTTTGTGAATTTGGGAAATATCAAATTGTCAAATTAACATCAATTTAAAAGTTTGTGATATCAAATTGTCAAAATAGATAGAGAGTCAAAGTTAACAAAGGGTGGAAGTGCAAGTGACCTCAATAGTAAATAACACAATTTTAAAGGTTAGAAAAAGTAAAGGTGTAAAAGTTAGTTGCTGATTCATAACTAACAAAGCGCCAGCTCCTTCATCTCCCTTCGTCTTCTTCGCTCCAAAAAGAAAAAAAAAAAAAAAAGAACCGAAATTAAAGAAACCCAAAATCTCACACACAATCTCTCCAAGGATCCCGTCACGGCCGATCAGCTGAAGAAAAATGCCTCCTGATAATAATCCATTCAGTGAGGAAGACGTTAATCCTTTTGCGGTAACCTTACCTTCTCATTTCCTCCCTTTTTTCTACAGGATTTCCATGTAATTTCATTTAGTTCTATGTAACCTCATTTTACCTACTTAATCGATTGCAATGATGAATGTCTCAGAAAACCCAGATCTTGTATAAATTTACAAATTTTGTTTATTTGTATTTTTTTTAAATAAATGTTTTGAGCTGGATCACCATTGAGAATTGTGACGTTATTTTAAGAATTTGGCATCAAGGAAATGTTATGTACAAGGTTTAGTTACGTGGGTAAGAATCAAAATTTGAACTTTTCGATTAGGTTATGTGATTCATGGGACTTGATGGCTTACTTATTTAATTAATTTGAAGTTTGAGGAGGCAGTAGCAATGGAATTATCATTTTTATGAAAAAAAAAGGGAGGAACATGGAATTATTCTTGATCATATAAGTGTTAGATTTCTTAGAATACAAGGATAAAACCACCAAGTTTGTATCATGATGATTGCACCGTTTAATTACAAATGTCAGTGAGGATAATGGAATAGCAGGCTGGGGTCTTCGGTGTGAGGCCCAATCCTTCACTCTCAAGATAATAAAAAAATAATAATAATAATAAAATAACAATAATGAGCTTGTATATAACATTGACAATGGTTCATTTTAGGACAAATCTTCAAAATAGACTCTATTATATCTTTATTTGTAAAAATCGGTACCTTTGATATTTAAATACCATTTTCGACCCAGTTTTAGCCACTTGGCTAAAACCGGATCGAAAATGGTATTTAAATCTCGAACTTCACGGGATTCTAAATCCCGTGAAGTTTAGCCGCTAAATTACTCAGCCAAATCACGATTAGTTTGGGTAATTAGGCACTAAACTTCACGAGATTTGGAATCCCGTGAAGCTTTATTCACTACTTTCGACCCAGTTTCAGCCAGTTGGCTAAAACCAGGTCGAAAATGGTGAATAAATCGCAAATGGGTCGATTCTTACAAAATAAAGTTCTAATATGGTCTATTTTGAAAATTTGTCCTTCATTCTATTATGTAACAATGGAATGGATATTTTTCATTTAGTCAGTTTGCATAAGTTTGAAAGAAGGAACCTGACTTGACAATTTCTTCTACTTATTTAATTTGGCATTTACAGTGCCAAATTGTTCTCTTAATGGAATAAAAAGTGAGAATTTCTCTTAATTGTAGAATGCTGCAAGTCCAAAAATCCAGCTTCCTCTAATGTCATCAAGCCCCACAGGCTTCAACAACCGTGATGAGAAAGTTGGGCGTTTGGCCCCAGGAAATGTATGAGAGCTCAATCTATAGCTTAATTAGGATACGTTTCTTCCATGTCGAAATAATTTTAACAATTTGGTTCCGTTATGTGGACTTTTGCAGGATCCAAAGAAAAAGGAGAAGGATATTGCAGCATGGGAAGCAGATTTAAAAAAGCGAGAACAGGTAGGGGATCAGACAGTTTTTCAACAATTTCATGTCTTGAAGCTCAATTTATTTCTAATATGAAAACAATGATTCACTTTGCAGGAAATAAAGAGAAGAGAGGATGCTTTGTCGAATGGTATGCTCTGTCCAGTTGTATGCTGAAATGATTCAATTTTTTTTTTTTTTTTGCACTATTGCAGTAATGTTTACATGTACATTAATGCAGCGGGTTTCGTCATAGAGGAAAAAAACTGGCCTCCTTTCTTTCCAGTCATTCATCATGATATAGCTAAAGAAATACCAATCAATTGTCAAAAGATGCAGTACATGGCATTTGGAAGCTGGCTAGGTACCTTCAGCATTATGTTTGCTGTATTCTTCTTCTAAATACGTGTTTTTTTACAACTTTGCTTTTGATCATAAAGTAACCGAGAGGAACTATTTATCAATTTTACTTGGTTAAAGAGGCTTATTCATATTCTATTCTTGATTAATTATGTCATTCGAGATCAAATCAAGCCTCCTCTACTCAGAAAAATAATATACTGGTGCAGTAGTTTTTCTGCCATACTACATACAGGGTTTTGAATCCTTGTCCATTTTCTACTTTCTAAGTATTTATGCTGCAGTAGTTTTTCTGATACATGCAAATATTGAATTCCTTTGAGTGTAAAATGTTAGCGTAGCATGAATTTACAGATTGAAACATCCTCAGCAACGGTAGTTAAGTATTAACAAATAGCTCCCCATTGTCTTCTAGGCTTAATGCTTTGCTTTGCGTGGAATCTAATTGCTGTGCTTATCTGTAGCGCCAGCGGAGAAGGTAATCTTAGTGAATGATCATGCATTATCTATATCGTTTCTTAAAGTTAAAATTTTGGCTATACTGGATTCTTTTATAATTCTTACTGTGGCCAGTAAAACAACTTCATTTTGTTTTCAGGTGTTAAAATTTTTCTTCTTGCGGCCATCTATGCTCTTAGTGGTTCTCCTCTCGCATATGTGCTCTGGTACAAGCCTCTCTATATTGCAATGAGGTGGGTTATTAATAGCTCTAAGCAATATTAATTTAATACACATACGTAACTATTCTGACCAAAATTGGATTAACTCTAGCTGAGGTAAGTGATCCCGAATTGTTTTTTTTCCCCGCTGAATGCCGTATACTAAATTAACTTTTTGGTTCTTTGTGAGCAGGACCGATCGTATGATGCATTTTCTCTGGTTTTTCCTAGTGTATTTGGTAACTTCTCTTAACTGGCAACTTTAGCTCAACCTGTCATTCTGTAAATGCTTTTTCTCATAATTGTGTTACGAAATTTGCCTTCTTTCAGGTTCATGTTATCTTTTGTATACTTGCTTCTGTCGCTCCCCCAATTATCTTTGAAGGGAAATCTTTGACGTAAGCTACTCGCTAGTTATCATCATAACAATAGGAAAATTATTGGAAAATCACTATTTTATATGCACATTTTGTGATGTGATTATGTTCTCCTTGATTTCAGGGGCTTTATTGCAGCACTTGATACCTTATCAGATAATGCATTGGTGGGGGTATGTTAAATTTTTCTTGCATTCTCCATCGTTACTCCTTTTATTAACACCTCATCTCTTTACTGCTGATACTTTTGTCTTTTCGGTATCTATCTACATATTTGATAATTTTTATAATGTTTCTTTTTTTATTGCAGATATTTTACATAATTGGGTCTTGCCTTTTTTCTTTGGAAACGCTTTTGAGCATCATGGTGCTTCAGGTTAAGATTTTTTTTCTTCTTTTGTTTTTGTTGTTGAGGAAATAGGTGGGATATCTTTTTTTTCTTCTCTTCTGATATCCTCATGTCCACACCAACGTATCCATCATGGTTGTTTACTAATATTTATTTAATAATTGGTTTTTTTAAGAATAATCACTTTTTAATTTCTATTTTCACATTTTCGTGGAAACCCATATTTTGGTTGCAGAAAATTTATCTTCACTTCAGAGGTAACAAGTGAGAGATGGCATTTGCAGCTAACTGAAATAACACTGACAAGAGTTACTCCTGCCCCTTGAGCTCACCTTGGTGCATCTAGACTAGTTCACCTTCTTTCATTTCCCCATTCTTTCAGTTTTCATGTATTCAGCTGAACTATGAAAGCTAGTTGATTTCTTTGAGTGAATTAGTTGCTGTGATTCACAGTATGCTCTTTCCAATGCATAATAAAATGCTCGGCAAATACAATGCAAACTTTGTGTGTTCTTGGCGCTGATTTCTGTCTCACCTGCTTTCTTGGTGATTACCTTCAGCTAAAAAAAAAGTTCGGTAAATTTTGTCTGGTAATCTGAGTTTTGCAATTTGATCCTCTTTCCTTTTTTTACTTTAAGATAAAACGATGATTACATCAAGAGTTTGTCCCTTAACGTCGTCATGCAAATGCTGACGCCTTTTGAAATGTATCGAACTTTATTTAGCTCAAATTGCGAAGAACACACAAAGTTTGCATTGCTAAAGCCTTCTGAAATAAGTTCGAAATTCCTAACATTGTGACAAAATTGCGAAGAGGAACCGTAATGTCACCTTGTGAAATAAGGTAGAAAATCCTAACCTTATGAAAATCCTAGTAATCACTCTCATGATGGAGAGAAACCATAGTGTCACAATGTTAGTAGAGAAAATTTACCAAACTTACTTAGCGCAAGCTGATCTCCAAAAATTTTTGGTGATTACTAGGATTTAGCGATCCTGTTAACATCGTTATGCAAACGCTAAAGCCTTTTGAAATAAGTTAGAAAATCCTAGTAATCACTCTCATGATGGATGGAGAGAAACCATAACGTCATTATGTTTATATCATACCTCTAATAGTTGAGGAAAACTATACTTTGAAGAGAAACCAGGAAAAAGGAAAGGATTGTTAGTAATGCAGTTTATGCTTAGTAACCAAGTTAAAGATGTTCTTGACCTGTTATTTATCAAGTCTGGACGAGACCTTTTGAGACCTGCAGATCAAACAGAGAGAAAAAGACCAGAACAAAAAAAAAAAGGGACCATTCTCATACAAAAAGTTAAAAAGATTTTCTCTCCAATCATAGAGATCTAAGATATGACAAACCTTTGTTTAAGCAGTCATACAAACTGCAGCTCATGCTGCTACATTTGAAAATTTGATACAACTCCAATATGAATCAATGGCTAAGATTTACACAGTAAATACAACAGCAAAGAAGGCAAATACTATATAACTATAATACCCACATTTTGGGCATCATTTATAATTCTCCGTCGTAGGAGAATATAGTCTAAGGAGAATCTGAAGCTTCCGCATATTCCAAGAGGCTGTTCTTAGATTTGCTCTGCTGCCTCATGAGCCCCTCCTGAATCTTGTCCTTAATGGCAGTCTCCTGTTAACAGAAAATATGACGCCATAATAAGGTTGACATAATTGCTACACAGACACAATCGTCGATTTCAGTTTCGTCACTTAGCAATGGCTAATGGGTTAATTGCGGATTAACCCACTGTACTAGTGCCCAATTGCAGATAGACCCCTATGGTTCCATTGTTGTGGACAGACCCTACCCTCAGTACTATCACCCAATTGCAGATAGACCCTTTTTGAGTGATTTCTATATTTGAACCTTTTAACCTCAAGATGTCTATTAGTCAAAAAACAGTTTTCCCATACTCTGAGAGTGAAAGAGTCTTAAAATTTCACTCAGAGGGCCTATCTGCAACAATAGAGCTACAAGTGGTCTATCCACAATTGGGTGACAGAATATGGGGGTCTATCCGCAATTAACCCTTAATAAAATTAAGCAGGACAAGGAGATATAAAATCCACTCACCATTATGTGGCATCCTTCCTCAAATTTCTCTAGAAAACCTGCGATCCAACGATCTGCATTTTCCACCCAGTCATTGTGATGCATCCCGGCCGTCTTAGCTACTGTAGTTAGCTGCAAAACATACATAGCTAATTGAAGGAAACTGATTATATTTGATAAAAATGATTAATAATTCAACCATCAGAACTGAGGCACTTCCACCGAAAGCATTAAGATACGAACCTTCTTGCCCACATTTTCCTGGTGTTCTTTCACTTTCTCGCGGAGTTTGGTTATCCCCATGTTCACCCTCAATTGCTTCTCCTGATAGTAGTACCACCAGAGTACAATTTAATATTGTGCAACAAAAGGAGCAAAATATTTGTGATCAAACGAGAAAGCATATATACCTTCACATAGCTGACACCAAGGTCCTTTCTTGAATATCCACGATTTAAATTACGCATGACATACTCATTATAGTCCTTGAGAATTCTCATTATAATATCTGATGTAGAGACACCAGTAGTACGCTTTGTTTCTTTAAATTTTCCAATGGCTTTAACCTGTTCTCAAGATCATCGAGCAAAGCAAATAAACTGAAAGAAGAAAAGGAATACAAATAGCAGCCTGCTTTCAGAGTCAAAAACGATAACTAACAAATTCATAGACATCGTTTCCAGCTCCACTTGCATCTGCATATCTACACGAGATAAACATGCATATGGATATGAGTCACAACACAACTCAAGTCAAGACCTGTGTAGTTATTTAACATAGAGAAAGCGATATAGATTCGAGTGAATTGAGACATTTAACAGAACCATTTTAAAAAACCACAGTATATCAAGAGTGAATTGAGACATTTAACAGAACCATTTTAAGAAACCACAGTATATGAAAAGGGCAGACTAATCAACTCGATGTCACTTCACAATCCATCATTTTATGGTGACACCAGAAACCTTACATATCTTAGGAGGATTTATGTTTAGATATTAACAATTCAAACTGGAATTTTGAAACAAGGCTGCAAAGTAGGCAATCACGATAGAATTTCTATTGCCACAGTGCGTAAGGTGGTCCATTGACCAGTGTCCAATATTTCATGTCAGCCACATGGAGACTACAACTGAGCTGAACTCTTGATTAGATTTTTACACAAATAAGACATCATAGTAAACAGAACTATTCTAGGACAGCACATAAAGATAAAAGTTGACTACATACTTGCCCAGAGAAATTTCAATCGAAAAACTAACATAGCAACTAAGTCTTACGGAAGAGCATCGTGAGCCACATAATCTATCTTGTGGTTGTCAATAAACTCCTGATTAAGTACCCAGGGAGCATCAGGAATTACTTCATCAACCCATCTGCAATTAGAGGGGAAGAAAACCTGTCAACATATTATGATAAGGATTCATAATTTAACTGCTTATATGTGCAATATTAAGGATGCAATTCTTGCAAGAATTTATATGTGACTAGCAAATATATGTGTAAGGCAAGAAGGGAGAATAGAAGTCGACGAAAGAAAGAAGACCACAGAAGTGCGGTAAAAGAAAAGATGAAATCCCTTTGTAACCAAATCATATGATGTTCAACATTTGCGATTTCAGACAAATGAATAAAGCAATACATACTTGCAATGCCGGAGTGACTCATAACGCTCTGCTTCAGTCATAACAGTTTTTCCTTTGTACATATGAGTAGTCTCATCATTGCAGCACCCAACGAGCAAATAGGTGTTGGGGAATCTGAAAATACAAAACACAGACTTGCTAAGATGTTTGATGTTTAGACACTTCTATTAAGAGGGGTATGTGAAAGTCATTACGAACTATAATATATTAATGACAAAAGGAGTGGCATTAAAAGCTAAGCTCTAACTTCTGACATTCAGTGCCATAAATGATATGAAGTTAAGATCAAATAGAAAATTAAGAAAATCTCACACAATATGCAACGTTTCTGACATCCTTAGCTCCTGTGAAATGAAAAGGCACTTGAAATTCAGATCCACAAGATCTCAAATTCTCAATGGATTGCAATATCGGATATCTAATAATGCCAGGTGCATCATACTACAGCTTTATTAATAAAAATCTCTTAAATGTTGACCTATACTGGTTTGAACAACTTCAAGAAACGAAACCTTAATTAGTGTCTGCACCTAACATAAATCTCCACTCAATATGTAAATGTCAATCAATACTTTTTAAACCTGAAGAAATAGATATGCTGATATCACCCGCAGCAAACAAGATTTGAATTATTTAGACAGGTCCTGCATCATAAAAAAAGGAAATTACACAAGCTGCACCACATGCATCAAAATCTCAAAAGCCGAAACTCTCTTTCCTTGAATCAACAGGAACCTAAACATGCCTATATTCTAAGAAAAATAAGCACCCAATAGTTACATGTTTGCTTGCAAACACGGAAAAGCAAGCCTTCGACACATGTGCAAACAAAGAGATCACAAAAAGATATAGCGAGGCACAGTTAAAAAACCATGTACTAGATATTTATAGCTAAAATCTTCAAATGTTTATCCAAATTGAATAAAGATTTCTCCTGATGGATATTCTCATTACAGATTCCACCCACGACTAATTTCCACCCTGTCCAATAATGAAATCCTCAGTTATTATCTTCAACCATCTGTCATCCAATTTCTAAGCCGTACCGGTCAGATTCTAATCACTCACATCCACTTTTCTAAAGGAAAAAAAAAATACACTGTTTATTTACATTTTAATTTAAGAGGAGAAAAGAAAAATCTCACAATGTATAAAGATATGGTTGGAGAAAAACTCTTTGCCTCTTCCACAATTCTCCGCAAAAAATCCTTGTTTTCCCCTCCTCCTTTTCATAAATATAATATAATTTCCTCATAATTTAAAAAAAAGGAAACTAGTCATTTTAAACCCTTTGCTCATTAATATTCTCATTACGATTCCCCTCGGGTCGCAATGCAGAAGCAATCCCCTAAATTGAGCCAATTTTCCGAATCCCACAACAAAAATCCAATCTTTTTACCATAACAACATCGTAAAATTCCAAAAGAGAAAGGGCACGTCGGAGCTCAAATCAGAGGGGGGACCACTCACAATTTCTTGGCCTGCTCCAGGGCGCGAGCGTGTCCAAAATGGAACAGATCGTAGATCCCGTCGGCATAAACTCGTACCGGGCGATCCTTGACCCCGGTTTGATCCTTCGCGTGATTCCGAGCCCTGCCCTTCTCTTCCGGACGATCTTTCGTCGGTTCCCTCTCCTCCGGAGGCGAAGAGAGAGAACAGAGAGGCTCGTACCACGTCGTCGGAGTCGAGGGGGCCTCCGCATAGACATCGCCGGCTGAGTCCTCGGCGTCGACGGGGTCGCCGTCCTCTCCGTCGAGCGGCGATCGCGCCATTTTCGCAGCGGGCGGGGGGGTCGAGTTTAGAGAGAGAAAGAGAGAGAGAGAATTAATTATTTGAGGAAATTATTTTGAGAGGTGAAGGGTGACGTTTGACCGTTTCGAGGTTCCTTTTTGTTTGTACTTTTGCATGCGTGGTTCACAGAGGGCCTCGTCTTCTTCTGTTTTAAATAAGCGGGTAGGCGTAGGGGTGAGCGTGGGTGGGGCCGGTTCAGGCCTCGGCCCGTCGGGTTCATGACCGGGGTCAGGTTCGACCCGGTCAAGTCCGGGTCAAAATGGGTCGGACCTATTTCTCTGATTTTGTGTTTGAGATTAGATCTAGCCTAACCCATGATCCCCTTAGGACACGCCGTGTCATGTTCGGCCCGCGATCCACGCGTTGTGGGTGGGCCCATAGATTTTTTAAACTTTTTTCTAATTTTTTGTTTTTAATTTCTAAACTACATAAATTTGTATGAGTTACTATTAGATTATATTTAAATTATTTTTTCTATTTTACTCTTTATTTAAAATGATATATACATACACACATTGTATAAATATAAACATCACACGTAAAAACATTGCAAATACAAAGATATACATGGTTCGGACTTCGAAAGTAGAAGACCTACGTCTACAGAATGTTAATAATTTTCTTTTAGTTTAAATTTAAATTACAAATGCAAGAGGAAAAAAGAAAAAAAAATGTTAACTAAAAACTACTGATTAAAATTTGGGGTCGGGTCAGGCTGGGCCAAGCCGATTCGATGTTGGGACGGGTTTATTTTTCTAATCCCAGGTCTAGAGTTGGACCCGACTCACTATGAGTCGGGTCGGGTGATGACCAATGGCGGGTTGGGTCGGTTTAGCCCTTGGGTCGATCCAGCCTGCGCCCAACCCTAGCTAAAAGGGTGGACGGGGGAATTTTTTTTCCCCTTTTTGGATACCTCGTTATATAAAAATTTTTCATGGAAACCATCTTTTTTTCTAGTTTATGCATAAACTATCTCTGAAAGACTTTTTGTTAGCAATTAATTATATGGGCTCAATTTTCAGTTAATTTTTTAGTATTTGATCGCATCGAACCTCTATTAAGGGTCATCTCTCTAATACACGTGGTATTTGACAGCTAATTATTTTAGCAAAATAAAAAAAATTGACTTATAAATGACTCTATGTGGTTGATTGCAAGAAAAAAAATATTTAAAGATGGTTTATATATAAATGTGCAGTTTCTATAAAATGATAAAGTGGTTTTTGAAGGAAAAAAAATACAAATCACACCTCTCAAAAAATAAGATATCATCAGTATATTTATTCTTAAACATCCTGATTCAAGAGCTCTCGTCTCGTTAAACAACATTTGCTCTCAATAAGCCAAGGAGGGTAGTGTGTAAAAATATAAATTAAGAGGGAAATGCTCTTTACTATTGGAATTAAAATCTTAAGCATTCAAAGAAAATTTTGGAAATAAATTAAAAAGATATCATCAGTATATTTGTTTTTAGTTTAGTTTTCTTTTGTTTTCAGAAGAAAAACTGTATTTCAATTTTCGATTTTGGATTTTTTTTTTGATAAATAGAAACTGGAATCTTAAATAACGTAATTTCACTGATTGTTTTTTTTTTTTCCAACCAGTGATGAAAATATTTAATGAGTCAAGTCAACCATAAGCATGCATGGCCATCACTAGATAGTGACATGAAAAGCATCGAAAAAAACGATACTTAATCACTTCTGGTTCGGGTTCATTGAATTGAAAGAGACCAGATCTAGATACAACCTGGTTTTTGCCCGATCTAGGTGCTACCCTGCTATTTTAAAGCATAAACCTCTTTTATTAAATAAAAAAAAAGAAAGAAACTCGTGCTCCTCACTTGGCGAAACCTTCACATAAAACAACTAGTGGTTTTACCTTATTAGCAAAGAAATTTAACATCCTCAATCACCCTCCCGTCAAAGTTAAGTATACTTCTTTACAATAAAAACAACGAGCAATTTTGCTACAGAGACCTAAAATATGGGACCAATAGGGGGGGAACAGGTGATGTGTCCCCCTGTTGGTCTCATATTTTGGATCTTTGGGGATTTTTTTTTATTTTTTGAGTTTTTATATCAAAACCACCTTTATTTTTACTCAAATTGATACTTATCACTTTTAAAGTTTTTTTTTTAATTTCTAGAGTTTGAAATACTATTGTATTCATTCCAAGAATCATCACGAGGCGATGATGGAGAAAAGTGAAGAGCGTGAATGGAAGTGTAAAAGTGACAGAAACTGATTGCAATGAAGCAAACGAAAACCAAGTCTAATAAAGGTTCGCAACACTAAGCTTTTGAACTTTGGCTTTGTTATGTTGCTCAAACCTCAAGCTATTAGGCATAATCCAAGGGTACTAAGATCATTTATGTATAAATAAGTAGAATATTGCTTCCTTTGCTTAAAAGGTCATGTGTGTGATTTTTGAGGTTATTTTCATCAATTGACCCTTTATGCTGTTAATTTAAAACTAACAGGCTATATGGTCGGATATGGTCGGGCCCGGTCATTTTTTGACCGTTTATGCTGGGCCGGCCCGGTCCGGACCGACCAAACGACCATATTTGGCCATTTGACCGATTTGCTCCTTAAAACGGTCAAAAAACGGCTAGAATATGAGGGTTTTTTTTTTGTCATTTGCCTAGGGGCTGCCTCTATAAATAGAGGGGGGTTTTCACTTATTCTCCTCACACCAAAACTCTTTTACTTCTTTCTTATACAATATAATACTCTCTTATAATCTTTTATATTTTCTAATACTTCTATCAAATGACTTCTGGATCTGATTATGAAGAGCAACACCTATCTCCTACCGATCCAGAAATGAGTCTTCTTACAACAACTACTCCTCCTCCTATCGGTGTTAATCCTGAATCTGGTGGCGACGAATCTACTGCACCAAGAGCTCCTAAAAGGCCGAGATCCGATGTGTGAAATTTTTTTGAGAAGATAGACGTCACCAATGATGAACATGGTAGGATCATCTCCCAAAAGGCAAAATGTGCGTTGTGCGGCCAGGTTTTCCAAGCTCATCATAAGAGCGGCACCAACCATCTTAAACGCCATATAGAAAAACACAACAAAGACCAGAATCTTCAAGGTGATATCCGACAGTCTATGATTTTTCAATCCTCCTCTTCTGGTACCCTCAGTAGTTAGAATTATGACGCTGTCCGAGCTAGGAAATGCGTTATCAGGTTTATTGCTCTTAAAAACCTGCCTTTTAAATTAGTAGAAGATGATGAATTTGAAGATTTGTTTAGAGATGGTTTTTATCCTGCATTTACAAAATTTTCTCGTCAAACCTGGCAACGTGATATTTTAAAATATTATCAGGAGGAACAAGGAAAAATAATTTCTTATTTAAAAAATTTAAACTGTAAATTTTCTTTAACTTCTGATATTTGGACATCTAGAGTACAAACTGGTTATTTATGTATCATAGCACACTGGATTGATGAAAATTGGTAAATGTTTAAAAGAGTTGTTTCTTTTATTGTAATTGAAGAGTCACACACTGGTATTAATATTGCAAATTTAATAATTGAAGAACTTATGAAACTAAAAATTGATCAAAGAATATTTTCTCTTTCACTAGATAATACAAGTAATAACAATGTAGCTGTTGATTTTATTCACTAGATAATACAAGTAATAACAATGTAGCTGTTGATTTTATTAAAACAACTCTGTCATTGCCATGACATGGTGACCTTTTTCATGTTAGATGTATCTGCCATATTTTAAATTTAATTGTTCAAAGTGCATTTTCTGAAATTAAACCCATGATAGAAAAGGTTAGAACAGTTGCTAATATGCGTAATGCTTCTAAAATGAGAATTAAAAGATGGAAACAATGTTGTAAAAGAAAAAATTATAAGCCTAAACTAATTCCAAAAGGAAATGAGAATTAAAAGATGGAAACAATGTTGTAAAAGAAAAAATTATAAGCCTAAACTAATTCCAAAAGATGTTGACCATAGGTGGAATTCCACAATGTTGTAAAAGAAAAAATTATAAGCCTAAACTAATTCCAAAAGATGTTGACCATAGGTGGAATTCCACATATGCAAAGTTATGTATAGCAATAGAATATAACGAAATTATAAATGATTTTATAAAATTTTATGCTTCTAGTTCTAGCTCTGGTAGCACTTATGGAATAAGTGAAGATGAATGGACAATTATATGTAAATTAAATGAGATGTTACAAGTTTTTTATGATGCTACTATGTTATTATCTGGTTGTTATTATCCAACTATTACTTTAGTTGCTTTACAAATTTTAAATATTCAAAAATTTTTTTTGCCAAATATCGTATGGATGATATTTTTGGAAATATAATTTTTCAAATGGAGAGCAAATTTAATAAGTATTTTAGGCATATTCCTCATATTTTTGGTTTAGGGGTTCTTATTGATCCATGTTTGAAGGATATTAGTCTTCAAAGTTTGTTACAGTCATTGTATGATGGACAGATTATAAACTTAGATGATGGTTCCACCCTTACTGCTACTTCTTATCATTTATCTATTAGAAATTATTTTCAAACATTATATGATGAGTATGCAGCTAGACATGGTGTAGCTGCACAACAGTCTACAGCTTAAGCGCCTTCGGCTTCGAGCACAGGTCGAGGTAAAAGTGTAAGTTTTGATAGGTATGCCATGGTAGCTGAACTAACTGGTGGATCTGGAATTAGTTCAGGATTAGAGGTTTCTGAATTAGATGAATATTTTTCTGCTTCCTTAGTTAAATGTCAAGGAAATACTTTAGATATTTTGCAATGGTAGAGAGTATATGGATCAGTTTGCTTCCTTAGTTAAATGTCAAGGAAATACTTTAGATATTTTGCAATGGTAGAGAGTATATGGATCAGTTTTATATCCTATACTTTTCACCATGGTTCGTGGCTTACTATCAATGCAGGTTTCGACGGTAGCTTCGAAATCCGCCTTCAGCACACCAGGACGTTTGATCGACGACCACATGACATGCTTAGATCCGTTTACTGTACAAGCGGTGATGTGCTTACAAGATTGGTGGAGGTACGGGAAGCGAACACAAGACATCGATCGGATTACTATAATTGAAGATAAATTTGAAGAGTTGGGACTAATAGATAGATATAAAGATTAGATAATATTTATCAAATTGTAATTTTTATTTATTAGCTTTAAATTTGTAATGAGTTATTTTAAAAAAAGTTACAAATGATAGTGATATGGGTGAGCAGGTGCCAACCTAGTTGGGATTTACTCATCTATTGTGATGCGACGAATTTCGAAATAAAATTATAATTGTAAAGGATTTACTGATTATTAATAAAGAAATTATTTTTATCATATTTTATTTTTATAATTTTTTATACTTATAATTTATGTCATTTCAAGTTATTAAAAAATTTTATGTCATTTTTTGTAATTTTTATGTATATTTTATAATTTATTATTTTTTTAAAATTTAAAAAAAATAAAAAATGGGGAAAAACCCGGGCCGGCCCGGGTCACCCGAGCCCCGGTCCGGGCTTCGGTTTTGCCCGGCCCGGGCCGGCTTGGCCCAATCCGGATGGACACCCCTAGTAACGCATTCTGAAAGGCTTTGAATGGTAAATTTGCAATTATGAATTTTGTGAGGATACATATGCAAACTTGGAAGATTTGGGGTTCCGTAGACAAATAACCGTAATAATAATTAGAATAAATTATAACGATTCATTATGGCTCAGAAAAAAATCTAGCCACTAATAAAATAGTAGTAGAAGGATTCAAGTTACTTTTTTCCTTTCCAAGACTAATTTTAATTATTAGATTTGTTACGTCAAATTGTTTCGTGTCATATTATTCATTCAAAGTTTGCTAAGGTACTGAAAAATATAAAGTAAGTACATCCACAAGCAACCTGACAAATTATACGTACCACGCTTGGATTTTATCCTTCGTATCTAACTTTAAAGAGGATCTAACTAGAATACATTATCAAAATAAATAATTTCTTAAGAGATGACTAAAGTTGACCAAATAGAATATACTTCGCCATTCCAAACAAAGTTGATAACCTGTTGATCTAATTTAGAATTTGAGGCTTATATTGCGAATACGCATGATTTCAGGGGTATGTGTAAAATCTCATTTATATACAAATAAATTATAAATTACAATACTAGTTAGAACTAATAATAGTTCAGGTGACAATAGTTTAGGGGGCAAGTAGGATATAGAGACTTGCAGTTTGTACAAAAAAAAAAACGGAGGAACTAACAAAAGATATGAAGGCTGCACAAATACTAAAACTTTCCCATGGTGCTCACGCAAATTTCACTTTTTATCAGTTAAAACACCAAATGCTTTATAATCCTTCAACAACTACAACAAAGCATGTATCCCATCCTTTTCAGAATCCTCTTCCCAAAATACAACATACACCATAATCATAATATAACATACACAGACTAATCAAAGCTACACAATTTCTAAAATAATGTTAATAAACCAGGCCAGCCTGAAAAATGTACAGATTGACGGATAAATCAACAAAAGATTAACTTCACAAACACTTTCTACAGCAAAAACTCAAGAAGTAAGCATCCTACCGGACTCAAAACATAGCTTCAGGTTTTCCCATTAACCCCCCAAGCTTCACCTCCTTAGAAAAAAATAGAAGCCCTAACCCAGCTCTGCCATATCTTTTTCTTATTTTTACAAGGTAAAAAACCCTAATCAAACTGCCATTTTACACTCCGCATTCAAAAATAGTTTGAAACTAGAAAGAACATAGATCATGTTCATCCTCCAAGAATTCTTCTGATGCTAATCCTTTGGTCGGGAGAAAGCCTCGAAGGGAACAAGAGTTCAAACTTGATCCTCAAATTCCCCTTTTTACCCCTCTCTCTAGCAATTGGCATTCCTTCTCTGGCAACGACAAGCTCATACCCAGGAGTAACCACGTCAGGCAATGATACGGAAAGATCACGGCCATCTAGGGTTTTGAGGGTTATTGTGGTTCCTGCAAGGGCATCCACAAGAGGGATCTTGTAATGGAGAATGAGATCGTTGCCATCTCTCTTGTAGACCTCGTGGGGTTTCTCATCAATCACAAAGACTAGGTCTGCTGGAAGTTGGTTCGCTGACTCATTCCCCTTGTCTGGAAATGTGATTTTTGTTCCTTTCTTCCAACCAGGCTTTATGTCTATTGTTAGGATCTCTGTTTCTTGAGCTAATCTCCTGCATTAAGCACAGGTCTTGACAATCAAATTATGCAGAAAAAAAAAATAGAAGTTTGATCTTTTCACGAGTTGTTTTATATACCTTATTGATGAATATGCAGCAGCATTGGGCAAGTTTAAAAGGAAAGATAATTTGCAAATTGCAAGTTTAGTATGATGCTAGCAAAACCATAATTACAATATTCTCAACGATCAACTATGGTCCTACAGTTATTTTCCAAATTTCTTTGTTTATGTGGTAACTTCTGAGTTAATAACAGTCAACTTATTTAAGAGAATGTTACGCAAAATTTTATAACTTATGATTTCAGGGACCAGCTTCTTAGTCTTTATGAGTATCACATAATGATAATGTTAAACATTTGCATAGCTTTCATCTGCTCACGGATCTGATTCTGCTTATTTAGGATAATAGCTCCAACGAAGGGGACAACAACCAGGAGAGAGAAAACAAACATTACAAGGTAACATAAAGGTATACTTCAGTAAAAACAGAGCGATGAGTAGTCCATATCCAACCTATTCAAACAAACTCCTGATTATAGGTTCTACTGAAGAAAGAACATATAACACTCACTCACTATGGATATTACTATCCAATTATTAAGTTCTAAACTTATTATTGTAATTCTTATTTAAGGTAGGAGAGTCTCTCATCCAAATAAGAGCATTTTAGAGACCTATGATCTACTTTGGTGATTGACAAAAAAGAACCAACATAACCTACAACTAAATCATGGCTCAGAAAGCCCATAGAGATTCTGTTCTCTTCTCCACAATTCATACAGGTATGTCAAAGGCTCTAGACTGAAAGCTTGCAGACACATCGTATGATCGTAAGATCTTCCAGCTTTCCCAAGAACACACAACCGTCATTGGATTAAGAGCTTGAAAACACATGGTAAGATCTTCTTGTTTCCCAAAGAACAACACTATAGCCATCACTTAACACTTATCCATTTTCATTTGTGTCATAAAATTTGCAATCTGGTGTCCGACATGGTTTTCTCCAATTCCTTACAACTGTACACGTCACCTCTTTCTCTTGGATCTTCCCTCTGTTTTACTTAAAATCTGAAAAACATTTGCAAGATTTTTTTTCCCCATGTAGACCACCTGACTGTGTGTAATTTCTTTGCCAGTTTGTGCTTGGTTATGATCACTCCCTAGAAAATCTCTATTTAGCATGCCCATCTTGCAAGCTTCATTGGATTACTAAGAATGCATTGTAGAGTCTAGACTAGTAAACTGGGAATCTCTCACTTACTCGTTAGATCCAATTCTACTAAATATTCATCCATCATTCTTATCAGTGTTTTGTAGACTCAGTAAGGACACAATGAACACAATCATAAATGAAGAAGATGAAAATTTTGAACGGGGAATCAATCTAATGTCAACTGCCAAAGTCATGCAGTTGCAAGGAACAAGTGAAGTAATAGCTAAGCTTTTGTGAAAGAGAATTAAGCTAGAACAAATATTAGTTTATTATAGTAAAAAATCTATGGCCTCTAGTCATCACCTAAAAAGAAATAAAGCAGAATGGATGGCTACAAGAGCTGTAATGTCCTGAACTAAAGAACAACAATAGTTGCATTTTCACAAAAAAGCATTGTGATGTTATTATATCATCAGGGTAGTTGCATGGATCCCCATAAGGAAAAGATGAAATGCATAAGGTCCTTGTTGAAATGCATAATTTAGGTATCTAATAGGGAAGACCTAAATGTGATGAAAAAGGAGCCATGAAGGTTTCCCTTTCAGTTTTAGATATCAAACAAAATTTTACTAATGATTTGAACAGTAATTAGAGTCAGCAATGGTTCTACTTCCTGATATGAACGTAGGAAAGAGTAATAAGGTAGAGACATTTCCTTTAGCAGCTGTTCAGCAACAGTAGTAAAAGAATAAAAAAAATAAACTCTATATAAAAGAAGCAAATTTGAGTCCATACAGTAGATCAATAAGAAATTCAGAATGCCATATCAAGTTAGATATATATGAGGACATGGAACAGTGCATACCCATTAGGACGAATGACATTCCTTGATATCTTCATTTTTTTCGTTGAACCGGTGTAGAGATCTTCAAGACTGCACGGCAGCTTGCTCTCCACTGGCGGTGCCTTCCGTAGCTGAACTCCACTTGTAGAGCTAGCTCCATCAGTATGTGTTCTATGTGCACCATCAGCACCACGAAACCCACCGAAAGTCCCACCACCATCTGTTTGAAACCTCATGGACTTGGCACGACCCATCGACTCAAACCCAAAAGGACTGCTACCAAAGAACTCGGCAAAGATGTCCTCTGCATCCCGAGGATTGAATTGGAAATTACTAGGGCCCCTTGAGCTATTAGCGTACGAGGTCGCACTCTGAGACCCAGGAGGCGGCATGCCCTTTAGACCCTCCTCCCCATACTGATCATATATTGCTCTCTTTTGTGGGTCACTTAAGACCTGCAACCGCAACAATTGACATGTAAGAAAAAAAATTATGGGCACATTGATCAACCTATTTTAAGAAGATTAAAAAAAATATATCTTAGGGCAATTGGAATTCTTCCTGTTTTATTTGTCATAGCAAAGATCAAATGCAACAAAATATCTTTAAAAACACTTTTTATCATAAGTTTTACATTTTAAAGAAGAACGAAGCATCTCCTCCGATCCTTTATACTAAATGCCACACGTTCAACAGCCAAATGTTCACCCAAACAGCAGTCTTTTTGTTTCTTTTTTGCTCCAAAACATTACAAAATAACAACTTAAACTAATTTAAAACAAATTTAAAGAAATTCTAGCAAATATCACATCATAAACATCAAAAATTCAGAAAAATTCCTTCAAAAAGCAAAAAATTAAAGAGCTCACATCGTAGGCTTCAGAGATCTGCTTGAACTTGGCCTCAGCCTCCGTTTTACTGCTCGGATTCTTGTCGGGATGCCATCTCATCGCCAATCGCCGGTACGACTTCTTGAGATCGTCATCGGTCGCGTTTCGGTTTACCTTCAAGATGTTGTAGTAATCGACTCCCATAACATCAAATTTTGGGGGGAAATGATCGAGAACCAAACCCTAGAGAGAAGGAGAGCTCTAGATCTGAGGATCTTGGAGAGGGATTATAAATGGAAAGGGGAGAGATTGGGGATTTTGGCGGACAATTGAAGAAAGTCCTCGGAATTTTTTAATTTTTAATTTTTAATTTTTTGGGATTTAAAAAACTGGATTAAATTGAGAGAGGAAGAGAGAGAGAAGAGATTGAGGGAACCCACGAATTTGGGGTTCAGGTGGAATTTGGATTGCGATAGGGCCCAGTTTTTATAAGTGGGGCCCAATTGTCTCCCCTGAATGTTTATCAACATTGCGAAGGGGCCCCTTTTTTTATAAGTGGGGTGCAGTTGGCTCTCTTGAATGTTTATCAGTATTATGGGCTTGGACCCATACGTAATTCTAGATGAAAAGTTTGGGGACGTTATTAATTTCGCATAAGCCCCCGGAAGGTGATGTGGGTGTGTCACAATACCCCCTAAGCTTAAAAGATTTTCTCACCAGACCCCTACTTGTAATATGCAGATAACTTAAAGGTTCTTCAGGGGTGAAAATTTCTAAATTTATTATTTTGTCACCATCTATTTTTTAGGCAAGTGTCTAAGGGCAGTGATGAGAGCTCCAATTAACTTCATGCCACACAGGAATCAAGCGGTGTTAAGCCTCTACACAATCACCTACAAATCAAGCAAAACACGTAGCCCAAGAACGCCAAGAACAGATATGGAATTCTGAAGAAAGAAACTCTAATTTTATTGATAATTCTGCCAAGTTTTCAATTACCAAAATCATAAAAAATCATAATACCTAGCCGACCTTAAATAGCCTCTTTTTTAGGTTTTTTTTGCACAAAAACCCCTACACATATTATTCCTAAACAAGTCTTATCTGTAAACAATTTTCTACTCCTAAACAAGTCCTATTTATAAATAAATTCTTACTCCTAAACAAATTCTATTTGTAATTAAAATAAATTTTATTCAAACTCCAATTCCTTCAGCATATAGCACTGGTATAAAATGAGGCATCCTAGATGGAAAATTCCGTCTAGGACAACAATATTTTCGTCTAGGTAGACAATCCCAGACGGAATTCTGTTTGGGATGTTCGTCTTGTGAATTTCCGTCTAAGATACGGTATTCTAGACGGATTTCCGTCTAGGAAACCATCCTATTTGTTATTCAAGCATAACGCGGCTATCCTTAGACTTTCTCTTGACATTTGGGAGGTGTGGGTGCTTAATTAGTCAAGCAGAACTCAAAACTAGAACTAGGATAAATTTTTATAGTGTTAGTGAATTAGAACTACTACAATATTAGAACTGAGACAATGATAAAAAATTACACCACTTTTTATATTTCTATATACAAAAATTGGATTCTAATCTCTCAAATTATCCTAAGTTTTAGGCTAGAACTATTTGGTAAAAAAACCAGAATTCTCCTATTTGTTTCTTACTTTTATTTTTCATAATTGTTTTCTCCATCCTCTCTTCGAATGATGGTCATTACCATCATTAGACCATACTATCAGATTAGAACGTCTATCCTTTTACTCCTCTCTTTATATGTTATTTCTTTTTTGCCAAATATTATATTTAAATAAGTACTTGAAAGTAAAAAAATCATAGATCCATTATTTATTAAAAAATGATTGAAATTGAGATATGCAGAAAAGAGATTTGGGAATGTAAAAAAAGAAGGAAATAGAATTTTTTTTTTCTAGATTTGTACTATAATAATTTATAAAAAAAATTACAAATTATTATTATAATAGTTATATTGCACTCTAACCAAAAGTTACTCAACAACATGAACTGACATTATATTAAATATAATTATTAATTAATAAATAATACTAATTTTAAAAATATAGAATAATAGTTATATCATCAGAATGCATAAATTATATATTCATAAATTATCCCACATTATTTTATCATAATACCCCACTTCAAAAAATTATTCCCAATTAATCCAATAAATATCCAACTTTCAAAACATTATCTCATTTAAACAATTATCCCACTTCTTGTTAAAATATTCCAATTGCTAACAACTGTGAATAAATTAAGGAGTAACGGAGCATGAAACGTATTCATGTTAAAACATTTGTTTTGTTCTTATAAAAATCTCCTAAAACTTCTACTCTGGATAAATTAATTTCTCTCCTTTATCCTTCTGATTTGGGTCTTAGGGGATAGTGTTGTGCCTCGAGAAACCAAAACAATCGCCAAGAAAGATAAACAACCAACCAAAATCAACAGCACAAACAACCAAACACCAGTTTTACGTGGTTCGGCAAGATGCCTACGTCCACGGGGCAAGGAGGGGGGAGTTTTCACTATTAGAAATCAAGAGGAACAAACTAAGGTTACAAATCTCTCATAAACCCTCAACAATCAACTCTCAATCTCTCCAATTGCTCCTAGAATAGAAGCCCAAAGAAAACTCTCTCAATCTGCTCAAATTCGTCCTTGCTCTTAACCCTAAAAAACACCCAAAGGGTATTTATACAAATCCAAAACGAATCGGGTCGAAAACCTGAAAGCCCAGCCCAAAACAGCGTCGGTCGACCGGACTGGTCGACCGCGATCAATTCCGCTCGACCGGCCCGGTCGACCGACCAGCTCTCAGTAGAAAACCCAAACTCCAGAGAACCGTCGGTCGACCGCACCGGTCAACCGATCTCCTTCCAGACGCACAGGAAGCCTTGTGCACGAATGCGGTCGACCGGGCCGGTCGACCGCCACCCTGACAACATGAATCCTGAGCTCATCTCTTCAAATCTCCACCTCGGCGAAGATTCTTCCAAAACTGAGCCGACACCGATCAAACCAATACCTCAACTGTTGCACCCAGTATGCCATGGCAACGGACTCATGACAACGGACTCCAATCACAACACGTCGAGATCCAAATGGGAGTGCGAACACTCAAACCCAAACCAATTGTGTCTACTCACCAAACAACTGAGCCTACACCGATTACACGAAATGCCTCACTTGCTGAGACCTAAATGGGAGTGCGAACACTCTCCCCAAATGTCGATGTCGCTCACCAAATCGGCTGCATCATAAAGACTGCCTACGTATCCTCTTGCCCAAGGAATCAAGCCTTCACGTAGTTCACCCTATGGGCCTCCAAAGGCCCTCAATCCAATTTGCGGCTGATAGCATCATCAACGACCCCAAACTGAAACGATCCAAACACGTCCACCTGAGATGTAACAATGGCCGTATCCAAAACATATCCATCAGCTGCATCCAAATCAACTACCTCATCATCTGCACCCATAAATAAATGACTCCCACGCTGTGCCACCTCAGCTGGAATCCCAACCAATGCAGAATGACCTGGAGTATGTGAGGAAATCCTCACCCAATGTGGAGTAGCATCAACCTCCACCCGCTGCGATATCCCTCTGACCTGATCAATACTCTCCACCTGTCGAGAGTCCAAAGTGACAAACCTGCTCAGACCAAACTCAGAAGCTCCCAACTGATAGCCAAATGAACTCCTGAATCCCAACTGCGCAATCGGATCCAACCTCACATCAACGATGTGACCAAGTGCTGGGTAGCCAAATATCCGACGCCGGCCAAAATCTGAAACAGCTCCACCAGATCTAACAACTCTATACGCAGCAGTCGGCAACCTCATAAGATGACCCAAACCTGTCGAAGCCTGAATACCAGATCCACTGCTCGACAACCAATACCGATCCTCCTCCAGAAAAGAACGGCCCACTAAATCCGCCATCTCATCACGTCGCCCCACTGTCTCCTTCCCTCTGAAGTGTCTCCAACTGCCGTGAGCTCGGCACCAATGCAAGAAAGGACTCCTACTAGAATAAGTACGACTGGTAACCTTTCTGCCCATACACCTCCTCCAACTGTTGCGGACTACTAGGTCTTTATACCAACGGGACTTGGTTGCAACCCAAATATGCCTAGTACAATCCCCAACATAGGAAACAAAATAACGATTACCTCCCGATGATGCCTCCTCGGAAAGCCCCCAAATGCCTGACTGAACACCTCCAATAAGACCTCTCGATCGATGGATAGAAGTGCTGAACTCCACCTCGGTCTTCTTGCTCATACTAATGTGCTCACAGGACTTCAATCTGCAGGTCATAGCACTCCTCAACAATCTGTGCACGGTATAACCAACAATATATCCCAGCACCAAACAATGCCACAGTCTAGCCATAGAAGTAGTCAGCGCCCTATCAACTACCGTGCTCCCAAGTAGATAATACAAGTTACTCCGCCTGACTCCCTTCATCACAATTATGGACCCCGATGTGACCTTCAAGCGAGAATCCGCCAAGATCACCCTATAGCCTGATGCCTCCAATACCCCAAGTGAAATGATGTTCTTCCTCAGTTGAGGAACGAACCTCACATCAGCCAACTCCCGGATCATCCCGTCACTCATCCGAATCCGAACGGTACCAATACCACCAATAGGGCATCTGTGATCATTACCCATGAGAACAGCATCCCCTCTTTCCAACTCCTGAAAGCTGGAGAACCAATCCCTTCTAGGGCATATGTGGTAAGTAGCACCAGAATCCAACATCCACTCGGTGGAGTCGGCAACATCAACTGACGGAAGAGCTGGGCATGAATAGCCCGAAGAATCTGAATCTGAATCTGAAACATCGCCACTAGCCTTGGCAATATTCACCTCTGAAGCTTGAATAGCTTTCCCTTTATTCTTCACAGCTTGTAATTTTGGGCATTCGGCTTTCCAATGTCCATCCTCTCTACAAAAGGCACACTGATTCCTACCAACTGCAGGATGCCCCCCTCTAGACTGCGACCTTCTTTCACGGTTTGGACTTCTAGCTCTTGCAACCAATGCACCAGCAACCGGCTCGATGGAAGTCTCCTTGTCCTTCTTTCGAAGTTGATAATTCACAAGGGCTGCGGTGACCTCACTATACGAAAGTGATGCCTTTCCATTAATAAGAGTGAGGACGAATGTCTCATATTCCTCGTCGGGCAAGGAACTCAATAACAACAATGCCTTGTCCTCGTCTTCAACCTTGACATCTACATTCGCCAAATCTGCAAGTAGCTTCGTGTAGTGGTTCATGTGATCACTAATGGATGTCCCCTTCTTCAATTGGAAGCGATAAAGCCTCCTCTTTAAATGCAAGCGATTTTTGACGCTTTTCGTCAAATACTTGCCCTCTAGGACCTCCCAAATCTTCTTTGCCGAAGTTTCA